TATATATATATATATATATATATATATATATATGTTGGTACTTGTTTGCACTGCTATCCTCCACTAATAAATAATGTTGGAAGGCACTGGAAATTTAAGAAACTATATGGGAGAAACACAGGAAATTGGGAAAACTTTATGTATTAACTTATTTTTTTCAGAGATTTTAGAAAAGACAACATTTTTTTGTGTGTATTTTACCTCAGTACTCTACTGGTGTTTGGGGATTGAAAGGTTATATTTTTTACTGACATGTCCAGCAAAATCCAGATGTACAATAGCCATAGTTCTAGAACCACGGGAAGTCCACTACTTGTGTAGTTCCTCAAGCACTGGCCCAACCACTACTCTTCCAAAAAGGAGGTTTGGGGAAGGGACATATTAGGGAACTGTGAGCTCCTCATGCCACTGGTGCAGAAGGAAACATCTTAGAGAACTATCAGAGAACCATACAATTTTAGAGTTAAAAGGGGCTTTAGGCCAATACCCAGTGGTTACAACCTGTAATAATGTCTGACCTCAGATCCAGATCAGAAAGTGTGTGTGCGTGTGTGTGTGTGTGTAAACACTGAGTTTGTGTAAATATTGAATTCTTTTTTATAATTAATACTGGTACACATAATACAGACAAGCCTATGGTGATAGCCTTGGTGATTTACCCTAAATGAGATACCACCCCCAAATATACTTATTTCATAAGTTTGGAATTTTTATATTAGGTTTTCTCCAAAGTGAGGCACAGTTGAATTACTCGGATGAAATCCCAATTTCAAGTGAAAATGTCACTTTCTCCCCTTACAAACTCTTGCTAAGACCTGGGTGAGCTCAGCATGTGTCACACACTGAGGTCAGAGCCATGTGGCTCAGGCATGGCTACCAACAGCTGGAGTGGAGGGTCTCTTATACATGAATCACATATCCCCATCCTGCCAACTTTTTTATAACTCGCTTATTTTTGTGCATTTTTTAAGGAAATTGATAGTTTCGTGTGGCCATATGTTAATATTTACTTTCTTAGTAACAGAATTTGGTTAAGAAATGACTATTCCTCCACAAATATAGGGGAGATTTCTCAAACTGATTTTTCTTAAGTACTTGTCTTCTACACTAAAATTTATACCAATGACTTTGCTAGCTGCAAATCAATAAAAACAAATATTTGGTCA